TGCTGTTCTCCTGCCAGGTGTTACTTTTCTGTCCTTTAACATTCCACAGACTTTTATTTATATTACTTTTGGGTCCTCCTATTTTCATTTTCTGTACTCATCTCTCCCCATTAGACTCTAACATTTTGAGGAAAGCAGTGTGTCTTACTCACCTCCGTATCTGCCATCATGCTCAGTAGAGGGCCTGGCACAGACCGAGTGAGAGAGAGAGAGAGATAAGGAGAAAGAGAGGGAGAGAGAAAGAGCAATACTAATGGGTGATCACTGCCACTCTCCCTGCCCTCTTTACAATCCCCTAGAGATAGATCCCAGCACTCTCAGAAGTCCTGTAAAACTATTGCTTATAAAGGAAGAACTGTTCTTGAACCATTCCCCCAGCTGATCATACTAACCAGGCCTTGTACTGCCAAGTCAGCGATTTTCAACCTTTTTTATCTCATGGCACACATAAACTAATTACTAAGATTCTGCGGCACACCAGAAAATATATTTTTTGCCAATCTGACAAAAAAAAAAGTTATTATTTTGATTCATTCACAATAGATGGCAATTGTGTTGGCTGTTGTCATTTTTTTGTTTGACAGTCTAAGGCAGCGGTTCTCAACCTGGGGGTCGCGACCCCTTTGGGGGTCAAACGACCCTTTCACAGGGGTTGCCTAAGACCATCGGAAAACACATATATAATTACATATTGTTTTTGTGATTAATCACTATGCTTTAATTATGTTCAATTTGTAACAATGAAAATACATCCTGCATATCAGATATTTACATTACGATTCATAACAGTAGCAAAATTACAGTTATGAAGTAGCAACAAAAATAATGTTATGGTTGGGGGTCACCACAACATGAGGAACTGTATTAAAGGGTCGCAGCATTAAGAAGGTTGAGAACCACTGCACTATAACCTCTGAGCCTCAGTTTCTTCGTCTGTAAAGTGGGAGGGGGTAGAGTAACAGTGTCTATCTGTGCCCAGTGCCTGAAACACCTGACTGATAGGAGGAGCTCAACAAATAGTCACCTGGAAGGTGACCTGGAGTGAATACAGACTTAGACCAAGATTTTCTTGAACATTGTAAACTTAATTCATTTTAATCTCTGCATGCCCCGTGACCCTAGCACAGGACCGGCACAGGACTGGTGATAATTAAAGCATAGTGATTAATCACAAAAACAATATGTAATTATATATGTGTTTTCCGATGGTCTTAGGCGACCCCTGTGAAAGGGTCGTTTGACCCCCAAAGGGGTCGCGACCCACAGGTTGAGAGCCGCTGGTCTAAGGGAAGAGAGGTCAGTGCCCCTGACTAAATAGTCAGGTATTGCATGATTTTAAAATTTTTGTGGCACACCAGTTGAAAATCGCTGACCTACATGTAGGATTATATATAGAACTAGCAATACATATAAGTGGGTAACACAGAAGGCTGGGGTTTTCTTCATGTGGATCAAATTCTGGTTTGGAATTTTGATATTTACCATTGTGGTTTAGGCCAAACTAAGACTTTTGGATAATGTGAAGAAATGCATTAGAGAGAGGAAAAATATGCTCAGATCCGTGCAAATAAAATCTGGTGGGAGATTCTTATAGGAATATTCTTCCATAATGTCAAGAAAATGGTCCATGGTGATATTGCTCCTATAGATAAAATGGCTGCTGAAAAAACAATAATAAGCACTTTGTTTCAGAAGTAGCCAAGTAATCAATAATTTGATTTCTAATAGGCATGGTTGCCATGAGGACTTTTATAATGAGATTATAGAGGCAAATTGATTTCCCTCTTGACTTTATCAGAAAATCTTCAAATGCCTTGAATCTTTCCTCCAGAATCCTAAAAAAATGCCTGCAGTAATCCTCCCAGAAAATTATTTTCTGGATTTCCTGAAGCTCTTCCTGTAGCATTTGATTATTGCTGTTGTAAATAAGACAAGGATTATAATTAAGAAAGCTATGAATGTGATATAATAGCATAAACACAGTTGTATATAACTAATTACCACACTGCCCCCTTTACTTGACTTTATATTCATGTTGAAAGCTCTTAGCTGTGCATGTACAATTGATTCATGATGGTATAAGTGGTTGTTTTAATAAAAAGTTTCAATTGAGGTTTTTGTTCAGCACTAGAACTTCCCTTATTCCACTGATCCTTTGGGAAACTCAGATGCAACTTATATCATTTATGGAACTACATCCTGTAATAGTGAACACTCTGCCTGTTGTAGCTACAATAATGGAAGATGAGTCAGAATTTCTTTCTTCCTTCCCTTGTTTTTCCTGTGTCCTTGATTTTCCCCAGAACATAGCTTTCTATAGAATAAATTTCCCTGGGCACCGTTTGTTCCATCTGATAACTTGAGTACTCAGTGATTCACAGATTTTTGTCGTTGTAATATACTTTTTTAAAAGATGCAATCCCATCACCACTTCTCTCACCAGTGCTCTCTTTTTTAAAAACCAGAATAAACTTTGGAGCAGTTTGAGTAACTATGAGAGCATTAAAAGCCTTCTGAGATGTTTTGAAACAAGACTGCAAGGTTTGTCTCCTGCTTGAAGGAGGGAAAATATACTATTGTCAGCCTCACAGTAATTTTGAGTGGCTAAATTATTTGTATGCTAAACCTTCTTTCAAATGCCAACATTTAGGTCAGACAAAAATAGAGAAAGGGCTGCAATACAAACCTTTCCAGTTTTAGTAAATTCACTATGTTCAATAGAGAACTATCTTCACACACACAAACAGAGAGAGAGAGAGAGAGAGAGAGAGAGAGAGAGACCTTTTAGCATACATGTTTCTGATGTCACCAATGTGGTAAAAATGTCATAGGAAATCCTGCTACTTGTCTGTGATGACCTGTGCAGGTCTGTGTACACAGTTCTCCTAGGACAGTGATGGCAAACCTTTTGAGCTCGGCGTGTCAGCATTTTGAAAACCCTAACTTAACTCTGGTGCTGCGTCACATATAGAAATTTTTTGATATTTGCAACCATAGTAAAACAAAGACTTATATTTTTGATATTTATTTTATATATTTAAATGCCATTTAACAAAGAAAAATCAACCAAAAAAATGAGTTCGCGTGTCACCTCTGACACGCATGTCATAGGTTCGCCATCACTGTCCTAGGACCATCAAACTAAGCACTCATGTTTCAGCATCTGTCATTAACCACCTTAGCATTTCTTCACAGCTTTTTGTTTCTTCTCAACCTACCTACCTGTTCACATGTGAAAGAACGCTTTCCCCCCCCTAACCACAAACAGGGTTAATAGGTCATTTCATCTACTAACTTTCTCCCTTATCTCTCCCATGTTCTCTTTGTGCCCTAGGAGCAGGTAAATTCACTACCAAGTAATTATAGTCCATCATTTTCAATATAAAATTTTCCATTGAGACTTATTAAAGTGTATCAAGCATATCAAAGCAATAGACTAAATGAAGCAATTAATAAAGAGTATTTTACTGAGCTTTGAAAAATATAAATTTCCCCCATACTAGTGAATGAGAGGTATTTACTGAATGGCTAAATGCAGAAGTTTTTCCTAAATCTGTTGAAGTTGTTCTGACATAGGATGGGCCAGGGAGGAAATCAATAGATTCACATTGCTAGACAGTACATCATCATACATTTAGGTCATTGGATATAAAGCTATTACTGAAGCACTCCTTCTAACACAAACACTACTAGAGCAAACATTTTCTGATTGGCAGGCATCAGAGGAACCTCGTGTTCATCCTCTATTCGGTGTTGGTTTGACACAGCCACACCACATGACCGTCCCAGATCTGAGTGGGTGACTTCGCTCTTCCCAGAAATGACCAACAGGACTTGGGCCAGATTGGTGGGAATTTTATTCCTAAATGTGTTTACCCAGAGAAACAAGGAGTCTACACAGTTTTCAGTAAAATGGAAAATCAAAGTAAGAGAAGCAGATGATGATATCAATAAGGAAAAACAAATCTGGGAAAGGAATTTGGTATTATTCCCTCAATTATCAGTGTTTTTAAAATTGTAGATCTTTTTGATCTTTTAGATGATGTGTGTTTAGAGACAGTCCAAAAAACTTAGGCCTTTTACAAGTAATGTTAAGAAATTTGAAATTAAGCAATGGTCTTTGTGAAAATTCTAGTACAAAGAAAGAGTGTGAATAAATCCTTGGATTTATAAAGAAGGAAGTGTAGGACACCGAAAAAAATGTACATTTGGATTTATGAGCCAATGAAACACCAAAGCCACTGAATTTCTTCCACAGTAAAGTAGAGTGAAGTTCCTAAATATAAAAACCAACAACAAAATTTCCAGACACTTGAAAATAATAGTAAACTGAAGTGTAGGGTCTGGGGTTCCAGTGTGACATCTTAGAGTTTGTGCCAGAATGGAAGGGTTCTAGGACCGGAAGACTGCAAATGTTAATATTTCAAGCACATTTTGGGCATCAGAAAGATTCTAGGTTCTCTTCTGGGCCTATAAAAACAGCTTGTTCTAACATCCTTTCTGGGGACCCATTAATTCATTCTGTAAAGACTCCTCTTCGACATTTAGCTATAGAGGCACGGGAACACTTCATGATTTTTTTTTTGGAGTGTATAGTGTGAAAAACAAGATTGTAAAATGAACTGCTTTCCTGCCCTTCCTAATTTCTTTCTCCCTGTGCTCTACAAACTAGGGTATCTCTTTCTGACCTCAGAGCTTGTATTGAACTCAGAAAGTATACTTTGCAAATGTCCTGCATGTTCTAATTTGTATGATGGAAGGAAAAAAAGCTCATCTGAGCACCAATTTGACATCGTTTTATTCCAACAGTCTTTGGAAGCCAACACCCCTTCCCTTTTTGACTGTCTAAAATGCCCTTGCTAGCCAGATCCCTTCGCTAGCTACAGTGTTTGCACATTTCCTCGTTGATCAGCTGCGTCGGCTGGGAGACTGTGTGTTTTGGTGTTGTTTGTGTGCAATCTCGTGCTGCTTCCTGAACGCATGTGTCCCTTCCTTCACAGCCTACTCGACACCCAGCACCTCCCCCGCAAACCGATTCGTCAGTGTTGGACCACGGGATCCAAGCTTTGTAAATATCCCTCAACAGACACAGGTGGGCCGCTCTCATCTTTTCTGTATGTGGTGCAGCTTGTTTTATTCATCAGGTGCATTGTAACTTGTCTTTCCGCACAACAGGCTGCATTTCCCAGCCCCTGTTTGGTCCCCTTTCCTCCCAACCTCCTCTCCGGTCCTGGTCCTTCAGCCACATTTCCATGTGTTCTCAGAAATCGTGGAAAAGTGCCTGCAATTTTTGCTTCTTGTATTGAGGGAGCAGAAGAGGAGGGCTTCTGGACCAGAACTGCTTTGACTATGGCAAGAAAGATTCCCCAGTGCTAGCTCGTGTGTCTCCTCTGCTAGGAGTCTGTCTCTACATGCAAGGAGACAGTAGTTCCCTGCCGAACCTGTAATATAAACTCTGGCTGCCAGCGACATTAGAGAGCATGCTAGGAATGGGGGAACCAGCCACTCTTCTGTATTCATTATAGGGTCCCCAGGAACCTGGCAAACTTTCTAAAATAAAGGGTTTGTGAGCCCTATTAAGTTGCTGGTGTTGGTGCAGAAAATAACCGGAGATGTTTGTTCCTGGCTACACTGGTACTGGGAGTAAGGTGCAGAAGGGTGGGAGGGGATGGAGGTGGGTTTGATGTCTTATATTGAGGTAGGTGATTGAGAAAGAGTATGCCAGGACATCTAGAGCTTATTTTTCACTAGAAAGTTGTGTTTTGTGCTAGTTTAGGTCAAGGAGAAGAAATCTCTGAAAGTTTTGAAATGGCTGCTGCTAATTGAGAAACCATGAAAGACTTTTGTAGTACAAGGTAGTGGCTGTAGAGATAGATATTTAGAGGTTTGTGAAATAGAATTAGAGTCAACTTTTGAAAGAAACTCCTCTCTGATTTCCTAATTGGAATGTGACCATATATTATCATAATTGACATAAAGAAAATATTTTCTCTATGAGGTTCTCAGCATGGTGGTTGAAAAATGTTTCTCCAGGATGTTTTGTGCATATATATGCCTGGGTGTGTAATCTCCAGATGCCAGATTTATAACTGCTCATCTTTGTTTGTCAGACTCTGACCAGGTGCTTGTGAATGGGCTACATTTGCTGGGTTCATGTGCTCTCTCCATAAAGGGTTTTACTTTATTGCTGTGTCGACAGCACGGGTTAAACTGCATTGCATCTGAAGCCTTCCCTGCACTGAAGCAGGGTCACAGAAAGTACAGCCTCAGAGGAGGCAGCTGGGAGGAGGGGGGAGCGAGAAGGAGAGAAGGTTAACTCTTGAATTTCCCACTTCTGCTGTTTCTCCTGAAACAGGCCGGTACATGGCATCTGGGATTAACATTGCCTATTCAGTCCCTCCCATAAAACTGTTCAAGTTTATTGCTTACTTTCCCATACCTTCAAATATTTAACTGGTGAATTTGAATAATTACCTCGAATGCATTAAAATAGAATGTTTCATTTTATACTTTGGGTTCACACGTTCAAGTTCAATGGGAGGGGAGGACTGGGGACAGTGGCTGTAATAATGGATGATTTCTTTTCTCAAAGCCCCAGTGTGTTCAGGTTACTTCATCAAAAACCTCAAAAATGCAGTTTGGAAATGTCCTATGTGTATGTTACGTAGTGTTTTTTTTAAAAGAAGCAGTGATTCACAGCACTGAAATAATACTGTGTTCCATTCACTGTGTTTGTCTAACATCAAAATGTGTTACATTGCAACATGGCTTTGTTTCACAGATGCCTTATTTAACCCATAAACTGGGTCTCCATGTTGTTGACCACAAAAATTCAATTCTTAAAAATCCAGATTTTTCACGCATCTGGATGAATGATGTCATGTAGACCCAATATTGGCATCTGGAACTGAACTTCTTGGTTTCTGTTAAATATTTGGTATCATAGGGATAGCAGCTTAAATGCTCTCTCTCTCTCTCTCTCTCTCTCTCTCTTAATCACAGTGACACCTGCCACATTTGGCTGGAAGAAAGCCATCCCCACTTATCTTATGAGAAACTATGCTGATGGAAGTTGTATTTTTTTCTATAAATATATAGAGAGATATAGATATAGAGGTATAGAGATATATGTGTCCTGAAGTAAAAATTATGTGCTCTAAATATTTTAATTTTCTGGAGTATATATGAATTCTTCTTAAAAAAGAAAGAACCACATTCTGGAACCATTTAAAGTGTTAGACATGTATAGATATAGATAGTAAAAATAATGACATACTTTTTTAAAAAGCTGCTTTTTGAGAAGACATTCGTTCAGAAAAGGGATTTTTTTTTAATATTTTTTATTGATTTCAGAGAAGAAGGAGGAGGGAAAGAGAGATAGAAACATCAGTGATGAGAGAGAATCTTTGATTGGCTGCCTCCTGCATACCCCCTACTGGGCATTGAGCCCAAAATCCAGGCATGTGCCATGACCAGGAATTGAACCTTGACCTCTGGTTCATAGGTTGATGCTCAACCACTGAGCAACACCAGCCAGGAGGGTTTTTTGTTTTGTGTTGGTTTTTTTTACAAGAATTTTTAAAGATATAATTTGAACATGGCCTGCAGATTAGTAATTTTCTAGGCAAGCTTGTATTTTTTTCTGTATTGACCCTTTTGTTAATAAGGCATGAAATTTGTATTAATTGAATTACAGGAGAAGTTTTCTGGGAAAACAAAATTTTGCTTTCTGTCTTTGGAGAAGTAAAAAGTGAAGAGTCACCAAGCAGATACTTGAGCTTTACAAATGCAGAAGGGACATCCTGCACATAAATCCATAAACAAATGTAAAATAAAATGGCCTTTCTTTCTCCCAAAGACGAGTTCGCAGTAGAAATCTTCCCAAAGTCTGAAGCATCAACCCATAAAAGGTGGATTAGATGTGGTCTCCGCTTTTTTTTAGCGGATGGAACTTGTATGCATAGATATTTCAATTACACAGTTATCAGTTTATTATAAGACCTTTCTTTACAAAAAAAGAATTTTTTTATAGATAGCTTAAATTTACTAATTTTATTTACTAAGTTTGTTAGGTAAATTATCTAACTAACCTTTACAAAAGCCACCCAACACAATAGATATAATTATCTCTGCTTTATAGAGTTAGAAACTGAGTTCTAAAGAGATTGTTGGTTTTCCCAAGGCCTATGCCCTCTAACCACTGTAGTGCACTGCCTCATGAGCTGGTGAGCACCTTGCCCTGATATTCAGAGACTCATGCTCAACTCTCAGGAATACTTCTGGCACATTCCCTGCTTTTAAATTTGAGATTGTATTAAAATTTAATCATTAGTATAAACCCAAAATAACTGAAAGCATGCTCTCAAAAAGATATTTGTACACCAGGTCCTTAGCACCATTATTTACAATAGCCAAAAGGTGGAAACAACCCAAGTGTCCATTGACAGATAAATGGATAAAATCTGGCATATACATTTTATTGTGTGGCTATCATTTCAAAATGGTATAATGCATATTATTCTGCCTTTAAAAGGAAGGAAACTCTGCAATATGCTACAACATGGATGAACCTTGAAGGCATTATGCCTGTAACAAACCAGTTACAAGAGGACAAATACTGTATGATTCCACTTATGTGAGGTACCAAAAGTCGTCTAATTCAAAGACACAGAAAGTAGAATAGTGGCTGCCAGAGCCAGGGGAAGGGTCGAATGTTTAATGGTACAAAGTTTCAGGTTTGCAAGATGAAACAATTCAAGAGATGGGTGGTGGTGATGGTTGCACGACATTGTGAATGTACTGAATACCATGGAACTGTACACTTGAAAATGGTTAAGATGGTAAATTTTTTAAAACGTAATCATTAAATAAATTCCAACGGCCCTTTCACCTCTTAAGAGTCTAAAATTCTGTAAAACAGCCTAGAAAAGTGGACTGCTTACCAACAGGATCCACTGTCATAGTGTGCTGACCTCTCCGGGAGCAGTAATTCTCATGCCCGGCACATAGTGGGTAGTCAGCATTTATTGGCTGAATCTAAATGATTCATAAGGAAGCTTTAAAATAATGACTTTTCCTTATTACAGTCATGATACATGTTAATTGTGGGAAAATACAGATGGGAAAAATAATAAAAATCACTTGTAGTCCTACTGTTAACATTGCTGTATAAATTCATCCAGACTGTTTCTATGCAACAAATACATTGCAAAAATGAGATCATATTACATACACTGTTTGGTAACCTGCTGTTTCTTCCCCTTAACAATATATTATGGCCTTCTTTCCATGTAAATTGGAAAAAAATTGAATATTGGCTTTTATTGCACCTATTCATCATCTGTAATGATTGGTAGGGAAAGATAACATGGATAATTGAAAGCCATTTTTCCTCCTCCTTCCCTTCCAGTCTATTTTTTTCTCCAGAGAATTCCTCCCTTCACGGAGACAGAATTGCCTTCTCTTTAGCCTTGCCTTGAGGTAGTTTTCTTTCAAAATGCATTCCAATTGCATTGTGTATCTCACCCCAGCATTCGGCTCTGTTCGAATATCCCTGCCAAGTTATCTATCCCATGCTTCCGCCTCACTCGTCTGCTACCTCGGCTGCTATCATTATTTGTCTCTCATTTCCCTCCTCCCTCTCCATTTGGTAACTCATCATTAACATGGGGGGTGGCCACCTCCCCACAGCCTCAAGAACACCCATCAAGTCTGAGAAACCATGACCACTGATCCCACCCCAAATCTCATTTCCCAGTATTGTCCCATGACAGTTGATATTAACAGAGAGAAAGTCTCTGGGGCATCAAGCATTTACTTCACTTTGGACACTATCCGCGTCCCCTGCACGCCCACTGAATGATATAATAGAGAACATGCCATCATTTCAGACAGCAGAAAGCCAATGACCATTTCAATTGCATCTCATAATTTAATCTGATCCCTGAAAACAAGAACCATTAAGAGGAGGCATTTATTTAGAGGAAAAAAATGTTAATATTTCATCATCAGGTAATAAATAGGAATACCAATTCCCACACAGAAGGACTGAGCAAAGAACTCATTTTGATTCAGGTTCTAGTTTAATCAAAT